AGCAATAGAATTGAACAAATAGAAGAAATAAATTCAGAGCTTGAAGATAATGTCTTCAAATTAACCCAATCCAACAAAGATAAAGAAAAAATGAATAAAGCATCCAAGAAGTCTGGGATTATGTTCAATGAACAAACCTAAGAATAATCAATCAGTGTTCCTGAGGACAAAGAGAATTCTAAAAGCTCAGAAAACATATTTGGGGTAATAATCATAGAAAACTTCCCTGGCCTAGCTAGAGATCTAGATATCCAAATACAAGAAGCAAAAAAACCCTTGGGAAATTTATCACAAAAAGATATTCACCTAGGCACACTGTCATCAGGTTATCCAAAGTTAAGAGGAAGGAAAGAATCTTAAGAGCTGTGGCACAGAAGCACCAGGTAACCTATAAAGGAAAACCTATCAATCAGATTAACAGCAGATTTCTCAGGAGAAACCCTACAAGCTAGAAGAGACGGGGGCACTATCTTTAGCCTCCTCAAAACAATTATCAGCCAAGAATTTTGTATCCAGTGAAACTAAGCATCATATGGAAAGGAAAGACACATTTGTTTTCAGACAAATGCTGAGACAATGCACCATTACCAAGCCACCACTACAAGAACTGCTAAAAGGAGCTCTAAATCTTAGAGTGAATCCTGGAAACACATCAAAACAGAACGTTTTTAAAGCATAAATCACATAGGACCTATGAAACAAAAATACAAGCTAAAAAGCGAAAGAAAAAAACAAAGTACACAGGAAACAACTCAATGAATACAACAGTACCTAACATTTCAATACTAACATTAAATGTAAATGGCCTAAATACTCCACTTAAAAGATAAAGAACTCACCAACCCAACTCAACTATCTACTGCCTTCAGGAGGCTCACCTAACACATAAGGACTGATAACTTTAAAGGGGCAGAACAAAGGCAAATAGACACCAAGAGTGAGCAGGGGTAGCTAGTCTTATATCAGACAAAACAAATTTTAAAGCAGTAGTGGTTAAAAGAGACAAAGAGGGACATTACATAATGATAAAAGGCGTTGTCCAACAGGAAAATATCACAATCCTAAACATACATGCTCCTAACACTGGCACTCCCAAATTTGTAAAACAATTACTAATAGACCTAAGAAATGAGACAGACAATAACACAATAATAGTGGGAGACTTTAATACTCCACTGACAGCGCTAGTCAGGTCATCCAGATAGAAAGTCAACAAAGAAACAGTGGAATTAAACTATACCTTGGAACAAATGGACTTAGCAGATATATATAGAACATTTCATCCAACAACTGCAGAATACATATTCTATTCAACAGCACATGGATCTTTCTCCAAGATAGACCTTATGATAGGCCATAAAATGAGCCTCAATTGAAGAAAATTGAAATTGTATCAAGCACTCTCTCAGATCACAGTGGTATAAAACTGGAAATCAACTCCAAAAGAAACCTTCAAAACCATGCAAATACAAGGAAATTAATTAACCTGTTCCTGAATGAGCATTGGGTCAAAAACAAAGCTAAGATGAAAATTAAAAAATTCTTTGAACTGTATGACAGTAATGATACAACCTATCAAAACCTCTGGGATACAGCAAAGGTGGTACTAAGAGAAAAGTTCATAGCCCTAAATACCCACATCAAAAACTTTGGAAAAACACAAACAGACAATCTATGATCACAAACTAGAAGAACAAGAACAAGCAAAATCCAAACCCAATAGAAGAAAGGAAATAACCAAGATCAGAGCAGAACTAAATGAAATTGAAATTTTAAAAAATACAAAAGATAAACAAAAAGCTGGTTCTTTGAAAAGATACATAAAATTGATAGACCATTAGCAAGATTAACCAAGAAAAGAAGAGAGAAAATCCACATAACTTCACTAAGAAACAAAATGGGAGATATTCCAGCTGACACCACAGAAATACAAAAGACCATTTAAGGCTACTATGAACACATTTATGCACATGAACTAGAAAACCTAGAAGAGATGGATAAATTCCTGGAAAAATATAACCCTCTTAGCTTAAATCAGGAAGAATCAAATACGCTGAACATATCAGTAACAAGCAGCAAGATTGAAATGGTAATTAAAATATTACCAACAAAAAGAAGTCCAGGACCAGATAGATTCACAGCAGAATTCTACTAGATATTCAAAGAAGAATTGGTACCAATCCTTTTGACACTATTCCACAAGATAGCGAAAGAAGGAGCCCTCCCCAACTCAGTCTGTGAAGCCAGGATCACCCTAATACCAAAACCAGAAAAGGACACAACCAAGAAAGAAAACTACAGACTGATATGCTTCATGAACATAGATGCTAAAATCCTTAACAAAATACTAACTAACCGAATCCAACAACATATCAAATAGATAATCCACCATGATCAAGTGGATTTCATACCATGGATGCAGGGTTGATTTAACATACGCAAGTCAATCAATGTGATACACCACATAAACAGCATTAAACACAAAAAACAACCATCTCAATACATGCAGAAAAAGCATTCAACAAAATCTAGCATTGCTGTATGATTAAAACTTTGAGCAAAATCAGCATACAAGGGAGATACCTGAATGTAATAAAAGCCATCCATGACAAACCCACAGCCAACATAATACTGAATGGAGAAAAGTTGAAAGCATTCTCTCTGAAAACTGGAACAAGACAAGGATGCCCCACTCTCATCACTCCTCTTCAACATAGTACTGGAAGTCCTAGCCAGATCAATCAGACAAGAGAAAGAAAGAAAGGGCATCCAGATGGTAAAGAAGAAATCAAACTGTCACTGTTTGCTGACGATATGATCGTTTACCATGAAAACCCTAAGGACTCATCCAGAAAGCTCCTAGAATTGATAAAGGAATTCAGCAAAGTTTCTGGATACAAGATTAATGTATACAAATCAGTAGTTCTTCTATACACCAACAGCAACCAGGCAGAGAAATCAAGAACTCAACCCCTTTTACAATAGCTGCAAAAATAATAAAATACTTAGGAATATACCTAACCAAGGAGTCAAAAGACCTCTATAAGTAAAACTACAAAACACTGCTGAAAGGAATCATAGATGACACAAATAAATGGAATTACGTCCCATGCTTGTGGGTGGGTAGAATGAATATTGTGAAAATATGCATACTGCCAAAAGCAATCTATAAATTCAACACAATCCCCATAATTAGAAAAACGAATTCTAAAATTTTTTATATGGAGTGAAAAAAGAGCTCGCATAGCCAAAGCAAGACTAAGAAAAGGTAAAAACTGGAGGCATCACACTACATTATTTCAAATTATACTGTAAGGCCATAGTCAACAAAACAGGGTGGTATTGGCATAAAGATAGGCACATAGGCCAATGGAACAGAATAGAGAACCCAGCAATACACCCAAATACTTACAGCCAACTGATCTTTCACAAAGCAAACAAAGTGGGGAAAGGACACCCTTTTTAACAAATGGTGCTGGGGTAATTCAATGAAACTGGATCCTCATCTCTCACCTTATACAAAAATCAACTCAAGATAGATTAAAGACTTAAACGAAGACCTGAAAGTATAAAAATTCTAGAAGATAATGTTGGGATAAACCTTCTAGACATTGGCTTAGGCAAGGATTTCATGACCAAGAACCCAAAAACAAATGCAATAAAAACAAAGATAAATAGGTGGGACCTAATTAAAGAGATTTTGCACAGCAAAAGGAACAATCAGCAGAATAAACAGACAACCCAAAGAGTGGGAGAAAATCTTCACAATCTGTACAACTGACAAAGGATTAATATCAAGAATCTACAACCAACTCAGACAAATCAGTAAGAAAAAAACCAAACCATCCCATCAAAAGGTCAGCTAAGGACATGAATAGGCAACTTTCAAAAGAAGATACACAAGTGGCCAATAAACACATGAAAAAATGCTCATCATCATTAATTACCAGGGAAATGCAAATCAGAACCACAATGTAATAGCACCTTTCTCCTGCAACAATGGCCATAGTCAAAAAATAAAAAAACAGTAGATGTTGGTGTGGATGCAATGAACAGGGAACATTTCTATACTGCTGGTGGGAATGTGAACTAGTACAGCATCTATGGAAAACAGTGTGGAGATTCCTTAAACAACTACAGGTGGAACTACCATTTGATCCAGCAATCCCACTACTGGGTATCTACCCAAAGGAAAAAAAGTCATTATTTGAAAAGGTACTTGCACACACGTTTATAGCAGCACAATTTACAATTGCGAAATCATGGAATCAACCCAAATGCCCATCAATCAACGAGCGGATAAAGAAACTGTAATATATATATATATCTCTGATGGAATACTATGCAGCCATAAAAAGGAATGCATTAACAGCATTTGCAGTGACCTGGATGAGAGTGGAGACTATTAGGCTAAGTGAGGTAACCTAGGAAAGTAAAAGCATATATCATATGTTCTTATTGATATGTGGGAGGTAAGCTATGAGAACACAAAGGCATAAGAATGATACGATGGACTTTGGGGATTTGGGGGAAGAGTGGAAGTGAGGGTGAGGGATAAAAGACTATAAATAGGGTGTGGCGTATACTGCTTAAGTTAAACTAAAGAGCTTTTGCACAGCAAAAGGAACAGTCAGCAGAGTATGCAGACAATGCACAGAGTGGGAGAAAATCTTGACAATCTATACATCCGACAAATGACTAATATCCAGAATCTACAACAAACTCAAATCAGTAAGAAAAAAACAATTTGATGGGTGCACCAAAATCTCATAAATTACCACTAAAGAACTTACTAATGTAACCAAATACCACCTGTACCTCAATAACTTATGGACAAATTTTTAAAAATTACATTAATCTGTGATTATAGTTTCAGTTTAACAATTATGGTATGCAATTTAGCCTTTTGTCCCTAAGAACAAGGGAAATTTTAAAATTTGGTATTCTAAAACCAAAAGGTTACTTTAAAATAGCATTATTAGAGTTTAAAACATACTTACCAAAAAAATAGATTCCCTGGCATGTGAAATTTGGCAAGGATAAAGAGAGGGGCTGTTGCTCTCTGGCTCTGGATTAGAACATTTGTACATTGGAAAGATTTTTAATGTGATCCATCAAAGTGCCAACTCTTTAGGAATACAGGTCTCCAACCTAATATCCAACAACAAATGAAAAAATGTTGCAGCTGTTTAAACTGACATTTGATTCTAGTCTTATGTTGGGTTTGTTTAAATGAATGCTGTGTTCATCATGACACTCAAATCAATTGTGGATTAATAGTAGGAAAAGAGTATCAGAAAAGCAAAACAAAATGAAACAAAAACTTCCTAGTTGATTAATGACGAAACAAAGAAATGAATATTATTTTTTTCTTATCTTTAACTCATCTAAATCTTATTGAGAAGGAGATGATTAAGTGGAAATTGGGCAGATAGTGGAGTTGGGGATGGACTGTAATTATACTACACTGCAAGAAAGCAAAGTGCACATTTCGACATACAGCGAAAATCCTTTTGCAGATGAAAATTTGGTTGTTGATTTTTTTTTTTAATACCCCAAAGAGTCTAAAATATTCATTTCATTGTTCACTGCGTGGAGAATCCTTATCAGGACAGAAGTTTCAGATGTCGATGATAATTTTCAAATTGGAGTTAGAGAAGCCATTCCCAGGTTAATGAGCACAGAGCAGCAGGCATTTTGAAGAGTTTATTTGGAGAAAGGAAATGTCTGCAGAAATCAAGTGATTAAGATGTGATACTCAAAGCGAACTCTGAGGGATCTCATTAGCAGAGACTAAGAGTAGTCTAAAAATGCAATAAGAGCCCTTATACAAGGTCACAAACATCCCAGTGCAGGCCAGCTGTGTGGGACCCACAGAAGAGAAAGATAAGGAACCTGATTGTACCAGATTAAGAAATCCTCCTCAGAAAAGGTGAGAGATTTTTCCCACTTACTAAGAGAGGAAGAGCAAGAAATACATATGAAAATCCCATTGCCTATTATTCATAGTTCTCCAGATGTGCTTATGTATATTAAAATACATATATTTTATTCCATAATGTAGTTTTAATCATTCTAAATTAATTTGAATCACTTCTTTACAAATACTACTTTTTCACACATCTTTCTTCACAAATTTCCCCAAAAAGTCTTCCTACTCAGTTGCACACTATCACTTTTATCTCCTTTCCCTGAAATTGCATTATATGTTTGTTTCCTTTTAAAACTGTATTCCTGCCATCAAAATAATGGAAGCTTCATGAATGGAAGGACATTATATAACTTGTTCACTATTTCATTTTATTTGAGGCCAAAATAATACTTGGCATATAAGTTTATAAACACTTAATCGAATGAAAGAATAAAGAACCTTTTTAAATTTTCATAAAATCATTGTTGAGACTACACCTGTCTGTTGTTACATAAATAACAGAATGTTAAAAGTTTTGGCCAGGGAACCAAGACACAGTGGATAGTATATTGGAAAGGGGGTATGCATTTACAATGGAGATGGTCATCAGTGGTTGTTCATAACCTCGTAACACAACAAATGCAAAAATCGACCAGAGAAGAGCGGTGAAGAGATTTTTTTGTGGGGGGAACAGAGTTTTACTATGAGTCTCACTCTTAAATGAAGTTGTGGGTGGTATTGCATCCTGTCCCTCAATTTTGTAGAGAGTAGCTTCAAGATGATTATTAGATTTTTGAGCAAACTGTCAGTGGGTTGTGACTCACTATCTCCAACTCCATGGGGAAGAGAATTGCAGAAGGATCCTGTACCTTATCACAAGACTAAAGATAGTATAATGATGGTTAAATAGAAGAGACTCTGAAGGCTGCTGTCTAAATTTCATCTGAAACATTTCAAGGGCATAGAACAAAAGGGAATCAAAGTATTTCTGAATGCTTAGGAACCGAAAAAGGAGGAAGGAATGTGTCAGCAATATACCTTCACTCTCATCAAGGTAGATTTATAGGAGAGCAAAAGGGCAGGGGTGGGTCACCAAATAACACACTAAAATCATCATTAAAAAGTCAATTTCAAATGTCTGCCAGATCCAAAGAGGATAGTGTCAACTCAAGACAGTAACCATCAAGTGCAATTTATTCTCCTTCTCACCTATTTTCCCTAACCATGATGCAGCAAAGAAGAGTCAGAACTAAGGGTAGGCAGATAGAGGAAGAGGAATAGAAGACTATGTGACAACATAGAGAAGAAACCAGCCACATCCATGCTCAGTATGCGACTTCAGGCTTCTCACCCATAATTGAGCCTGTGTTCGGAAAGGCAGGAATCTTAATACCAGTTAAAAGTCTTAAATATCATATAACCTGGATATTTAAATTATTGATCATGGGGCTTCAAGCTTCATGTTACCTAAATATTTTCAGAACGTTTTCATCTGGGAACAGAAGTAAAACTTGGCCCATGCATAAATTTTAATAGGAGACAAAAATTAAATCTCCCTACAATTACGTCCCACCATTTGTATAAGTTCAATATAATGACTAAAATAATTTTACTGATTTTCAAACTCATAGGTTCCAGAGTTTTTAATTCCAGGTAAGAACCCCTCTCAAATATTAACCTTATTTCTCTCTGGCCATGCTTTACATTTTGGTAATGACTGATAGTGAGGAAGCAATTAAATAAAATGTTTACTTGAGAATAGGGCTCCCAAATGTATACACAAATTATTTTTTAAATTAGCAACAAATAATTCTCAATGTGTAAAGATTTTTAAAGTATCTGGCATTTCTAAAATACCTCATGAAAGAAAAATATGTTTAGGAGTTATTTGAAACTAGAGGCAATAAATTCTGTCATATAATCTGGGAAAGAATATAACTCTGTGTTGAACAATTTATAGAATCTGGGAGAATGAAACATAGTGGTTGTGTCTGTGTGTGTAGAAGAGAAGGGGTAACATCTTAGGCCACTTGTGCTGCTATCATACAACTCCTGAGTCTGAGTAATGCATAAATAGTAACATTTATTTCTCATAGTCCTGGAGGCTGAGAAGCCTAAGGTCAGGGCACCCGCAGGTTCAGTGTCTAGTGAGGGCCCAGTCTCTTTAAATATTCATGAATAAGTGCAAGCAGGCAATGGATTGTGTTCATAGTTCCAACAATCCAACTTCTTACTCATTATCGTCATCTTTTCATTGTCTGGAAAACTGATTCCGGAAGCAAAAAACAAAGACTGACCATTATGAGAAGCCAGATCTCATTTCCGATGCCAGCTTTGCTGTCACTCCCCAGGGACTTAGTCTGCTTGACCTTCATTAGCTCATAGGCATCTCAGCTACAAACGCTGAACCATTTTGGCATTTTTCTTTGGTGGAAAGGTTAAAGAAAAATGGATTGTAATAATTTTGACACAGAATTAGAGAAAGAGAGACGTAGATGAAATGGATAAATAAATAAATTGCTTCCTCTAGACTCAGGGTAAGAGAACAAGCAAGCACTTGTTTGACGATTTCTGACCTCTCTTGAAGACTGAGATTTTTTGCCATGACTTTGGAATTTGGGAGATTGCTCTGCAACTTTTCTTTCTTTGTGTAGGACTCTCTACCTCCCCATTAGATAGAAAGGTACTTGAAGAAATCTGCAAATGTTTTTTTTATTTTGGAGCTGAGTGTTCATCTGTTTATTTCCTTGTTTTGTTGTTGTGTTTATTAGGGCCAAGTACTATAACAAACTTTACCTAAGGTATGCAATTTATGTCCTCCTAGATGCTAAAGAAACGAGAACTTAATAAGGTTAAGTAACTTGGTCAAAGGTAGCATAGTTGGTAAGTAGCAAAGCCAAGTTTCTTATTCAGGCTGTCCAAATACAAAGATGAGGCACTTTAACTTGGACTTCAAAGCACCTGCTTTCCAAGCCTTTCTTTTTACTGCGATCATTTTCATGCAATAGGATTTAACCCTCAGCTCTTAGTCTTTCTGGATGAAATGTTCTCATTTGCCATCTCACCTCATCTACAAGCTTCATTATCCCTCTAACCACATCTACTACCTATCTCTTTTGTCTTCTATTATAGCTTTGTTAAAGGGCAGCAACCATATTGCACCTAGTCTTGATTAAGTAGGCATGCCATTTGTCACCGAGCCAAGCAAGAAAATTCCTCATAGTGGTCCCCTTAAGGCATTGCTTGGAACGTTTCCCAGAAAGCACAGTGCAGCCTATCCATACCCTATCCACCATACCATGTAAAAGAACATTAATATCTATTAAAAGTTTCAGATAAATTTTCAATCAAATATTTTAATACAGCCCAGAGAGAAAGATAGTTTCACATGATCTTGAAGGTTTGATCTTAGTAAGGATTGCCTGTCTTTCAGAGGGATTAGAACAAAGTATGCTGCAGCTCAAAAGAAGTCACCACATCATTCAATGGTCTGAATGACAGTAAAGTTATACAGACTCTCCCTTAGAGGAATCACTGGGTTGCAAAATATCTAGACTATTAAGACATTTGCTGGCAAGGTATCAAGCAAATTGTGTATATGGGACCATGGCTGATTTTAATTTATGATGGGATGTGAAATTAAAAATATATATACATATTTGTGTATATGTATGAATATGTATATATTCTGAAAGGCAATATGTTACGTATGAATTGGACTATAAGCTGCTTCTAGAGTCAATCTATCCTATGAATAGAAATTGATTATAATAACATAACAGCAATTATGCTACCTAGTTAGAAATACCACATGAAAGAAAATTCCCAAGCTAAGTACAGTAGGCAGAATTCTGAGATGATCCTGAGCCACAACCTTATATAATCCTCCCGCTCTTTGAGTATGAACAGGATTTATAACTTGCTTCTAACCAGTAAAAAATTGCAAAAGTGGTGGGATTATAATTTGTTTCTGTAACATAAACAAATATAAACTCCCTTGATTGGGTTATATTACACAGCAAAGATGATGGGAGTCACACCTATGATAAAATAATTTTTATATAAGATCTGTCTTAGCACATTGTAGTAAAAGTTTCTCCTTCTGGCTTTGAAAAACTTAGCTTCCATTTGGTTGTTAGAGGGTCATGTGTCAAAGAAGTCTAAGAACTGAGTATGTGGCCTAACTGACAGCCGGCAAAAAAGCTAGGACCTCAG